GGTGGACACATTTGATATGGTTCTTATTAGTTATATTATCATACATCAATTTTTATAAAGAAAAGTTTTAAGTCAATCAAGAGTTTAAAATTAGCTTAGACGTAACAGCTAATAACTGCTGGTAAAAATACCACACAGAGCTGAGTTAGCATGAGTCGTATCACTTATGACGTAGTTATTTAATTGTAATACTACTGTTTCTAGTTTTAGAATACAGAATCTTATACACTAAATATGATTCTGTTTTATTAAAGAATATTTTTAAAGTTTATTTTAGTTGTGATTAAAAAGAGATGAGCTTTTCATTTTAGTAAAACTAGCGTATTTTATAGTTTTATCGCAAGTATTAGTAATGATATGTAAAAGTATATAATTAGTTTAAAAGTATAATAACAATAGAAGATTGTCAGTATGATTTCATAAGCTGATTTCATAACAACCAAACATTAATTACTACAACAATCCATCGTAATCCAAAACCACTTGGAAAAAATGATTATCCTGTATTAATGCTATTTCATACAACAACTATGTTACGTACTAAAACGTAATAATTGCTATTGACGAATTAGCTGTAAGTCATTTTGTCTTATCTTTAACCTATAAATTTATTATAGTTTTCCCTGTATTGGGGTTTTTATATTGCTTTTTGGTTTATAGCTAGAGATTTTTATCTTCTTTGGTCATAGATAATAAATGGATAGCCTTGAAAAACACATAATAATTCTTAAAATACTATATTCTACACTGAGTAGATTTTAAACGTAGCAACACAAACAACAAAACCAGCTATATTTAGTAAACCCATATCAGCAAAAGACAATATATACTACAAACTCTTTTACTTTTATAATTTTTTAGTGTAGATGGTTATCGTCTTTCTAACACACAGACGGTCACCGGTTTGAGTCCGGCAGAAATCATATGTCGATTTATCCGTGCGGTTAAGAAGACTACCGTGTAAAAAACCCGTTCTCAATGATAAAATAACATGCAATCAAGCCACAGTCAAGCCACTAAAGCAATTATACAGTAGAGTAACCGCTAACTATATATGATTTCATGGTTATTACTAGCAACATAAAGGTAAATTACAAGTATAAAAAGGCTGGGAAAACACCGTCGGAAAATTATCATCAATTGAACAAAAAAAACAAACCAAGAGCAAACATTTAGTATAAACAAAAAATTCTTTTACTTTCTTTAAAAATTTATCTAACTAAAAATTTCAATAATAAAAATCCTTTTAAAAACACAAAAAACATAATAAAAATCTAAAAAATCAAAAAATTATAAAAACTTACATCTAAAGCATATCCAAGTATCAATGATGAATAAAAACATGAATTCAGTAAAAACACCCAACAAGACAGATTAGAAATCTCTTGGGCTCTGCCCGCACAGGTTCAAATCCTGTAGCCGACGAATTGCACTTTTGTGTATTTTAATTTATAGTAACAATACTAAATACTTGAATTTATTTATTATTATCTCTTTGTATAAGATATTTCTATGAGTTTATAGTATATCTCTTTGGTAAAACCAATTATTTGCATTTTTAATCTTAGCTATACACTATATGTATGCTAATAAATAAAACCAAAATGACAATTTTCATAAATTGGCTTGAAGTTTTTAGATGTAATGTTTTTGTAAATAACTTTACAAGACCACATGTAGATTATCTGTGCCAAATTTGGCAAAGCTTTAAACCTTATTTATATTGTAAAATTTTTTTTCTCTATTAATATTAAGCATAAGTCATTAAAACAAAGATTTTATTTTCAAATAAGACTAAAACCATGCCGTTATAATTGTAAAATCATGTCATTATAATTGTAAAATCATG